TTACATCAAGCTCTGCGTTCAAGGCACTTCATACTCCTGCTAAGTGTTTTGATTCTTCAGAAATGTTGCATTCTCAGATTGACATGCTTACTGGACGCAGGAATCAGCTTGCTCAAGCGTCTTCCTGACTCTTCAGGTGATATAGTCAAAATCGCAGTTTTGGCTTTCGTACCATGGAGCTGCATTCAACACAGGCTCATATTTCACAAAGACCCTACTCTACACACGCATTGCCTCTAGCATCTCTGCTTTTTCCGTAGGATCAGCTGCAACATTAGTAGTTCGTACCATCGCAGTACTGCAACCCAGGGAGAATGTGCGTGTCCTGCCTAAGTTCAGAATTTCCACGCTCAAGTTCGTCCTTACAGGCGTTAATTGAGCAGCCACTTGTGATGAATACGAGCCGACATGCCCCCAGCAATATAACAATACAGCACCGCGCCACTGACTGGACTATGATCTATGATTGCCTTGTTTCTCTTTAAAAGCACTTCAGACCCAAGCTATTGTTGTGAACAGGTGGTCTTTACACGACCTCGCCGATGAAGCCCAGACTTGCACAGTTTCCCAGCTTTCGTTAGAAGTCCCACTAGGAGAGTCACAGGGATTTGAAAGCATCTGTTCACAATACCAGTGTATGGCGCGAAATAAACAGGGACAAAAAACAGAAAAAGAAACTGCACAAGGTGCCGGAGCTCAATTGGGCCTACCAATTTTGAGGATTTGGCAACATTTCTCGACTAAGGTCGTACTGCTCTGGAATGCTGCGGTCAAGTCACTGCCGCGTTTCCTCCTTTCACTTGCTGTAGCTCTTTTAGAACGGTCCCTGTTTTCCTTACAAGCGAAAGAAGACACCTCTGACTCATGAGACAGTTCTCCCCAAATGAGGCACATGGCTACGCACCAACAGGGCTCATACTATGTGCTGAAGAACGGGCGCAGGGTGGATGATACGTAATATTATACCCGCCGCCGAGGTGGCCGTGGAATGCTCTTCAAGGAAGAAACAGCAGCAGGCATTTTCCGCTATGCTACAGCATTCATTTGCTGCACACAATTAAGTTTCCTTCACCCTACTGCCTGTCGCTTTACTTTACCGGTAAGACACCCGGCTCACCAACGGTCGTGCTCTGCTTCTTGTATCCAACGTCATGAGGGGGACACAAGCGTTTGCTACAGAAGTTGCTGTGTTAACTACAGGCTTTTGAGAACAAAGCTTTCGAGTGGTAATTGCGCAGGATGCACTTACGTCTCTTAGCTCATTTACCACCAAAATTTGTTGCCTCACGTGAGGGTTAGAATATTAGCACTCACAGCAAGCGCCCAACTGCTGGTGTGTGATATATTTTCGAGTGGCTGTGTAGTAGACTCAAACGGTTATTCCTACTTTTCGCCTTTGAAAATAGACGAAAGCCCTTCAGTGCTTTGCGCCGTGAATTTATTTCTTCTGGCACAGCTGGACCCACCCCAGCACTGCACCAAATCCATCGAGAAATCCTAGCCTCCACACCGGTTGCTGCGTTATACCTAAACCACAGGAACAAAGAGGATGGAAGGCGCGCTGGTGTCTCGGCCTCCCCACACATATACAAGATAGTCTCTCTATCAGTAAACCCATTTAGTTGAGCCTAAATAAAAAGCAAAGTGCTCACCAAGGCTCAGTCCACGGTCTATGGCATATATCTATTTGCTGACATGTCAACTGGCCGACTAGCGGTCCTCTCGGGTAGTCTCTCTCAGCCTCAGGCGCATGGCTATGTGCCTTTTTCACTTCATTGTGTAGCTGCTCTAAATGTTCTTCGCCTCTACAGATGTTCCGCCTCGTAGATACTATGAAACTTTGCCACCAGACTGGTGTGGAGGGCTAGTTTGCTTGTGTGTCATGAGCCTGGGGCGCTGGTACGTTGTTTTCCGTAGATGTTGTTGCTCCTGCAGTGTCGTCTACTGTCAATATTGCCGCGCCAATTTCAATTTGGGACTTATAAGACGTGTATGGTGAGGTGTTCTGTAGGGAAGGGGTGCCGCAATTGGCACAGATGCATAGAAGATGACGGCATGAGGCTGTCCGAAATGGTGCCGTAGCAGCAGGTTCACGGGATTTGGTCAAAAAAGTAGCGCATGCACAACGGACCAGGAGCCAACGGTGCAAACACAGCAACTGTGACTACAAAAGTAGTCGCCATACGCAGCTCATACAACACTAGATACGGAACGACAAAATCTAAAGTAGAACACACTGCAGAGGCGACCAAATCTAGTGAAACAATTTAGCAGCGCCACGAGTGTTGGGCAGAAATACAGGGGAGCGAGGCGGCTTAGAGCAGTGGCGCGATTTCATAGCAGTTACGAAGCATAGCAATTGCAGAAACCACGAACAGTTCCGGAAATTTCAGCATGCCGCGTAAAACTCGCACAGATGAAATTGTTCTAGCGCTGGGCGTGTTAGCTCTTTAGCGATGCAGCACAGCTGCGAGGTGTCTACACGTGTGACATAAGCACCACAGTCTACAAACTCTAGGTACCAGCTTTTGTGGATAGATTGGAATGATCGTTCACCGCAAATATGCTGATGGGCCAGCATAACCACTTAGCAGTGCGCCTACATTTCAGCGTTGCGGCCAAGCATTGAAAACGAGTATTTCAAAATAGCAGGAGCGGGCCAGTCGACGTGGCAACGGAAAGACACCTCCCATTCCATGTGGACTAGGTCTTACTAGGCACTCTGCCTTTAATTTAGGCTCAGCTGAATGGGTTTACTTGCAGAGATGCAATTTTCTCGAATCATGTGGAGGACCAGACACTAAGGTGCCTTCCTTCCCCTTGCGCTCTTATAGCTTAACTCTGTCGCAATACCCGCCATGGAGGTCGGTATGTCTGGAGGACTAAATTGCGACGCGGATGCAGCTTCATTTTTTCCGGAAGAAGCAAAATGGTGCCGCAGTTTTCGTTGTATATCCAGTTGTAGAAAGCAGGAATAATCGCTCTAGTCTGCTGAACAGCCACTAGAAATGATTTCGCCCTCTGGAAATTCCGTGTTTCATAATGGCAATATTCGAATCCTGTCGTGAGGCAACAAGATATTATGGTGATTGCGCTGAGCATCAAAATTGCACTATGCGTCTCTGCCTCTCGAAAACCCTACCCTCAAAACCGGGCAGTTGATGCAGCGAATTGTGCAGCAGTTCTCTTTTTGCCCAGTGATAGGAATAACGCATGGGTGAAAGATATTAATGTTTGTGAGCGCTCAGCGAGAAGAAATGCTGAATTCTGTATGCCAAGAACATCATTGACGCAGGAAGAATGTTCAGTTTTGCGGTCTTCAAACCGTGCAAACGCACTAGCAATAGGAGCATAGGCAGGTCTGAGAGCGTGCAAATCGCGTAGGAATAGAACCATACGCACCGGAATTACTACCTGTCGAAACTTGGCTTCGCGTTTTACGCTTACAAGCATTAATTTCTTTTACCCGAGTAAACCTTGTTGTCTCCTACATCACTAAATGCTCGTTTCAAATGTTTTTCGGATCATTGCCACTGTTGCTTTGCAGCACATGTGTTTCGCGCAACCTTTCAGAGGCTTTCCCGTAACTAGGCTTCTATTGCTAATCCACTTTCGCGGCACCAGAAATTGCTCAACTATTCAATATTCCATAAACGTCGGATCATCCACATCATTATTACCACATAGCTATGCCCCATTTTGACCGCAGTTCTTGAATATCCTGATAAGTATCCCTCAAGGCACACGATACCTGCCTTCCTGCAACTGGTGAGAAGAATCGCTGTTCACGCGCAGCCGGCATGGACTCTTCATGGAGACTGTTTTATTATGGAGAACTGCACCTGGGGCATGGATTTGCCTGTTTCCAGCCATTTTCTCAAGCCTTTGAATTCACGATAGGCATGCGAGGAAATGCGCTGAGGCCCCTAATACGTTGGTCAGTTCCTCAGGGCAATTGAACGCTCGTAGCAGCTTGCTAAACGTGGGAGGCCTGTGCTCTAAAATACGAAAGCCTTCATCGCATTAACTGCAGAAATCTTCTACTACGTTGTTGCCCGCGTTCGTGCCGTCTCAGGTGCAGTCTGCTAAAAGCCCGCTGGAGCTCAAGCGCGCATATGGTGTACCCGGAATCTTGTGCAATGGGGACATCGCAAGATCGTATGAGTTGTGCATGACACTTATGACAGTAGCTTCAGCATTTTGCGCTCTTGAAGACTGGTACAAATCTCGCAAATTCCTTCATTTGGAAACGATTTGCAGGAATAGCCACACTGCTTCCCTAGTTAACAAAAGACGTCCGCAGAAGGATGCGGTGCTCATCCAATGTTCCGCACAGGACGCATACTGTGAAAAACGTCCGAAATTTGTGACTATCCATTTCAAGGGGATTCTTCACTGCGTCCTTTGTCGGCGCCGGAGCAAAACGGAGCTGGTCATGACATCGCTGCTGTTAAGGTGAATGTAGCACTGAAGAATGCATGGTTTCACGTAGCTGTGCGTCATTCCAGTAGGGCTTTCATGTTGTCATTAATTAGTCAGGTGCAGCATGGCTTAGTTACATACATATATATAACCTAGTATATTGACATTTGTACACATAGGGACGACACTTCATCTGGAGCGCGCTTATGGCCGGGACCTGCTGGTGCTGTGGCTGGAGCCGCGAAAGGTGACACCAGCTGCTGCTGCACTGTCCCCAGCAGCAGCAGCAGCGAGGGCTGCGGCAGGAGCTGCAGCAGAAGCAGCTGAAGCGCATGCACACACACCATATGGCGCAAGAGGAGTTTGCTTACTGCAGCAGCAGCAAAGTGAACAGCAAAAAGACCAACCAAAGCAGCACCAGCAGCAATGGCAGCATTCCCAGCAACAGGTAATTAGGTGTTGTGTGAGTACGGCCTAGATAACGAGTTTTTGATGGCGGCTGTAGCTGCTGCTGCTGATTCTGCCGTTGCTGCTGCTGCTGATTCTGCCGTTGCTGCTGCTGCTGCTGCTATAGCTGGCTACGCGTAAGTCGATCTCGCGCCTACATCAACAGGTGCAGCACTGATACTCGGAGCCTTCCATCCGCCTTCCGGATCCTGCTGTTGCGGCTGCTGCTGCACTTGCAGCAGCAGCTGCAGCTGCTGCAACTGCTGCTGGCGAGAATGCAGCAGCTGCAGCATGAGGGACAAACAGCGGGCTTCTTGCTGCCGCATAAAAAGCGCACAAATGTCTCCAAGCTGTGCTGCAGTCACGTCCGACTTGTACCGCATGCTGCTGCTGCTGCACTCAGCAGCAAATTCCTGCAATGCGGAGTCGGCCTGCAGCAGCAGCAAGGAGCCACCCTGTGAAGATGAGTCTTGCGTGCGCTGCCGCAGCAGCTGCTGCTTTTGCCGCTGCTGCTGCTGCTGCTGTTTTCCGTGGTGCTGACTCTGCTGGGTTGCAGCAAAGAGACAGACTGTTGCTGCCTCAAGCCTGCGGATGCGGTGGCGCAGCAGCGAGCTCATGCTCTGCAGCAGCAGATGCTGCTGCTCTTGCAGCTGCTGCGACAGCTGCACCACGAGCCGCTGCTGCTGTCTTGGCTGCGACAAATGCAGCAGTTGCTGCTGCAGCTGGGGAAGGCGTGGCAGAGCCCGCCGCAACGACAGCAACCCCTGCTGCAGCTGCTGCATGCTCCAGCGGAACAGCTCCAGCATTTGCCTGGGCGAGCCTGCTGCAGCTGCTGCTGCTGCACCTGCTTCTGCATCTGCTGCAGTTGATCCTGCTGCTGCTCCCCAAGTGCTCAAATGCAGCAACAGCAGCCAGCGAGAAATGACGCGGCAGCTCCACCAGGTGTCGGCGCTGCAGCGGGCCGCAGCAGTTGCAGCAGCAGCAGCTGCTGCTGCTGCTGATGCCGGCGCTGCTGCTGCTTCCATGCATGCACCTGCAGCATCTGCTGCTGCAACAGGCTGCAGCAAAGAAGGGCTTGAGAGCTCGTCGCTGCGGCTGTCTGCCGTGCAAAGACGCATTTCTTCAAGGGCAACAGCAAACAGCAGCTGCTGCAGCTTCTGCTGCCGTGCACCCAGCAGCACATCGGCTGCTGTCAGCTGCTGCTGCTGCTGCTGCTGCTGCGATTCGCACGGCGTGGGTGAGACGGGAAGGTTTCTGCCAGCAGCAAGACGCGGCGCAGCCTTTGCTGCTGCTGCTGCCTCTGCTAGAGCCATGAGCGACGTGTCTCTTAGCTCACACAGCAGCAGCAGCAGCAGCGGCTGCACGCGCTGCTGCAGCTGCCGCTGCAGCAGCTGCTGGGATAAGAGGCCGCTGGAGATTGCTCGCGGCCGCCCTTCTCCGCCAAGCACTTCTGCAAGCTCTTGTAGCTCCTGCAGCACCTGCAGCAGCAGATGCTGCCCCCGCTGCTGCTGCTGTCGCTCTGCTGCAACAGGCGCAGCAAGGAAGCCGCTCCGAAGGCACCCCACTGCAGCCGCAGCAACGCCAAGCAGCGTGCACACTGGCAGCAGCTGCATGCGCTGCAGCTGCAGCAGCCCATTAACTGTGCTGCAGTCTTGCTGCTGCCGCCTTGTGGCTGTGGAAGATGGAACTGCTGCCTTCAGGGCGCTGGAAAGCTGCCGCAGCCACGTGAGCAGCAGGAGCTGCTGCTGCTGCATGCAGCGCTCTCTCCGGGACACCACGTTTGCAGCAGCTGCTGCTTCTGCTGCAGCTGCTTGTGCTGCTGCTGATGGTGCTGCTGCAAGTTGAGCTGCTGCAGCGCGGGCAACGACAGCAGCAGCAGCGCTTGTTGCAGATGCAGTGTCTATCCAGATGGTTAAAAAGTGCTTCCGCCGCAGCGTCACGCGCTCCTGAAGACTTGCTGCAGTGTAGATCTGCTGCTGCTGCTGCAGCTGCTGCTGCAGGCGCTGCGTCGAACTCATTCTCCTCATGAAGCGCCGAGGGGAAAGGGCATCTCCAGCCTGCTGGAACCGCTGCGCCAAGTTGGCGCGTTGCTGCTGCTGCTGCTCTGCTGCTGCTGTGGGCGACGTGCCAGCAGCAAAGCCTGCTGCTGCTGCTTCCTGCTGCTGCTCCTGCGTCTCCCCTGCAGCACGGTGATGGGCGGTGCTGCTGTTCGCCATATTCAGCAGCAGCTGCTGCGGGAGAGGCTGCTGCTGCAAACACGCTAAACAGCGTCTCATTGGCCTCCCCGCGAGCATCGTGGCTTGAGCTGCTGATCCTGCTGCTGCTGCAGTCCCTGCTGCTGCTAAAGACGCAGCAGCAGCAGCAGCAGCAGCAACAGTGACGTCCTCTGCTGAGGACATAGAGCGCCGCAGCAAAGCACTTCCCCCCACAAAGGGGGATGGGCGCACAGCAGATGAAGTGAAGATGCTGCTGCTGTTGCTGCTGTTGCTGCTTCCTGCTCTTCTGAGGGGAGGGCCTGAGGGAGCTAGCTGCAGCGAGACACAAGAACAGAGCTGCTGCTGCAGGACGCTCGGCAGCTGCTGCAGCTGCAGCAGCAGCACCTCCAGCAGCTGCCATAGGCGCTTCTCATCTTCCGCGTCCGCTGCAGCTCCTGCTGCAGACGTTCGGACTCGATGCAGCAGCAGGTCCGCCTCTGCTGCTATGCGACGCAGCAGCAGCGGCCCCACACTCTGCAGCAACTCCGTGAGGGCAGCAGCAGCACTCCTTGGCAGCTGCAGCAGTACAAAGAAGAGCAACACCAGCAGCAAGAGTGACAGCACCACCAGCAGGTGAAGCAGAAGAAACAGCAGCAGCGGCAAGGAAGGAAGACACAGCAACGAACAGCAAGCGCAGCGGAAGCAGCAGCAGCAAAGGCTGCAGCAGCAGCAAAGGCCGCAGCAGCAGCTTACGCTGCAGCAGCTACAGCTGCAGCACCAGTGGGGGCTAAGGTGTACCGACAGCTTGCTTACCTCGCCGTCATTTCTGATGCAGCAGCACAGGGCCTCTGCAGCAAGGCCCTGCAGCAACTCACACCCAGCCATCTTGCCGCTGCGCCTGCTGTTGCTGCTGCTGCTGCGGCTGCCGTTGCTGTTGCCGCATGGGTTGTTTCGGTTTCTGTGCTATGCGCCTTTCGGCAGTAGTCGCTGACCACTGGTTTCAGCGTTGCTGCTGCTGCTGCTGCTGTTGTTGCTGTGCCCGCAGCAGCAGCTGCTGCGGCTGTGCAGCCAGTGCAGCAAGGGGCAGGCACCAGAAGCTGCAGCATCCACTCTCCACCAGCGGCGGCTTTGTGTCTGTTGCTGGCAGACCACTGTGTGGCAGCAGGTGCAGCAGCACCAGCGCCAGCTCTGCTGCTCCTGCTGTCCTTGGGGCTTGTGTTTCTGCCTCCGCAGCTGATTATTTACCTCTCGTGCCTTTTGGGCTTTGGCTTAAACAACGGTGTGGTCTGCAGCGCAGCAGCTGCAGCAGCAACAGCTGGAGCTGCAGCTACAGCCGCAGCTGCAACTGCTGCAGCAGCTACACTTAGTGCGGCTCCAGAGGGAAAATGTTGGCTCAATGAGTCTTTATTTCACCTGCGAACCCGAAAAGCTCAATTTCGTCGTGGCCTACTGCTGCGCAGTAGCTTCAACATTGCATGCTGCTGCTGCTGCTGCTGCTAGTCGGAGGCCAGCGGCAACTTCTACACTCGCTGCGGTTGCTGGTGCTTTCTGCACAAATGTCTTCAGTTTGATAAAGGCTATTAATGCCTAGGGGCAGCACCCAGCATGAATTAGGGACTAAATCTGTGAGGAGTTCCCGCCCCGTTGCCGACGAGGGCCCCCAGCAGCAGCAGATGCAGCAGCAGCAGCAGAAACTCCCCAGAGCGCTGCGAAAGGGAAGAATGCTAATGCCAATGTCCCTCTTAGAGATACAGAGACAGCAGCAGCTGCACCAGCAGCAACTACAGCGACAACGCCAACTGCAGCAGCAGCCGCAGCAGTAGCAGCAGTAGAAGCAGCACCACCGACACCAGGAGAAGCCTCCGCTGCGAAGCCAGCGCAGTACCACCAGCAGCAGGCTGCAGCTTGCAAAAATAGCAGAAAAGGCAGCAGCAGCAGCAGCAGCAGCTGTTGCTGCTGCTGCTCTGTGCGAAGATGGAAGGAGCGCCGATGACGATGAGACGCAGCTGCAGCAACAGCTGCGCAGCGGTGGAAGCAACTTTATTCGGGCCCCTAGACAGCAGCAGCAGCAGCAGCGGCAAAGTGAGGACAGCAGCAACAGCAGATACGCACCTTTCTAGCTGCTTGCTGCTGCAGGTGGGGCCCCTCAACGTGTTGGTGGACTGCCCGCTGCTGCTGAGATCTCTGCTGCAGTCAGCGCCCATGGGGTATCAGACCCTTACAGCAGCAGCAGCGGCTGCTGCTGCTGCCGCTGCTGCGGCAGGAGAGCCGCCAGCAGCAGCAGCAGCAGCAGCAACAGAAGCAGGAGTGGGGGCCTCTGCGGGCCGCTTTAGCTGCCAGCTGCGGCTGCAAGCGCAGCAGCTGCTGCAGCAACTGGGGGGCCGCCCCCTACACGCTATACTCATTACGAACCCACAGGGGCTGCTGGGTGTGCCGCTGCTGCTGCTGCAGCTGCAGCAGCAGCAGCAGCAGCTCCCGCTGGTGCTGGTCACCAAGCCTGTGGCCTTGCTGGGATGCACAGGCATTTCTTTCCTGCGTTCAGAGCAAGGGGGCTGTGTGCTTCCTGCTGCTGATGCTGTGGCAGGTCCAGCTGCAGCAGCAACAGCAGCAAGGTCTGCAGCAGCTCGCGTCACTCCTGCTGCTGCAGCAGGCAGCCAGCAGCACGACGACAGCGCAGCGCTTTTGGAAGAAAACGGCGACGACTTGTTGCTGCTGCTGCAGCAAGGCAGCAGCAGCAGGGCTAGCGAGCTGAAGGATCTTGAGGCTTTGCTGCAGCTGTGCAGCTACGGCCAGCGCCACATCATTAGAGCTGCTGCTACTATACCGTCAGCAGCAGCAGCAGCAGCAGCAGCAGCAGCAGCAGGCCCTGACCTGGACCAGGAATACGTAGTGACTCCCTTCAGCAGCGGCTTCTGTCTGGGGGGTGCGAATTGGCTGATAGAAACTCCCTGCAATCGGAAGATCTTTATCGTGGGACCTAGCAGCAGCAGCAGCAGCAGCAGCAACGGCAGCAGCAGCAGCAGCAGCAGCATAGTCTTCCAACGCAGCCCGCTAGAGGCCGACTGGAGCTGTTTGTCCACTGCTGATGCAGTTCTCTTTTTTGAGTGTCTTCCTCCTCGCGCGCGCGTCCACCCCAGCACAAGCAGCAGCAGCAGCAGTAGCAGCAGCAGCAGCAGCAGCAGCAGCAGCAGCAAGCAGGGCAGCAACAGTGCTTCAAGCAGCAGCGTGAACCCGCCGGCAGCCACGGCCGCTCCAGCAAACGAGAACAGCAGCGAGAGCCGCAGCAGCAGCGTGAAGCCGGAACCGGAGAGCAGCACAGGCAGCAGCAGCAATGGCGGCAGCAACTGCAGCAGCAGCAGCACGCAGGAAAGCAGCAGCAGCAAACCAAGAGGCGAAGTGCCTATTCAGCAGCGGCTGCAGCTGCTGCTGCGAGTTATTTCTGCTGCACTTGCCGAAGGCACTACTGTGCTGCTCGCTACAGACCCCTGCGGCATGCAGCAGCTGGAGCTGCTGCCGCTGCTGCTGCGGGACCTGCAGCGGCCAGTTGCTGCTGCATGCGTGTACACCGTAGGCTTCAATGGGCCGCTGCTGCTGCGGTGCGCTGACGAGGCTGTGGAGTGGGTGCAGCCTCCGCAGCAGCAGCTGCAGCAGCAGCAGCAGTACCGGGGGGGCGGCGCAGCAGCAGCAGCAGCTGCTGCTGCAGCAGACCTCTGCTGCGACCCACCCTTTGGCTATGCTGATTTGCAGCAGATGCACCGGCTCTTTGCTGCTGAGTTGCTGCTGCAGCTGCCGCCGCTGAGGAGGCCCTGTGTAGTCCTTGCTGCTTCTGCTGCACTGCGCGTGGGTCCTGCTGCCAATCTGCTGCAGCAGTGGCGCCGCAGCAGCAACACGCTGCTGCTGTTGATTGACCCGACCTTTGCTGCAGCAGGTGATATCGTGCGGCCCCCTCCTGTGCAGCAGCAAGCAGCGCTCAAAAGCCATCTTTCAAAGGACCTCCAAGTGCTGCTGCAGCGCTATCAGCAGCGGCAGGCCGAGACTGCTGCTGCTGCTGCCACAGGCAGCAGCAGCAGCAGCAGCAGCAGCACTGACTCAAATGCAGTCTCTCTTGCTGCTACTCTGGAGGGGCGGGCCCGGCAGCTGGGAGTTGCTGCTTGCGGTTTGCTGCTGTGGCCGTTCTTCTACGATGAGTCCTTCGTAGGCCCTTTGCTGCAGCAGCAGCAGCAGCAGCAGCAGGCCTCAGCAGCAGCAGCTGCTGCTGCAGCAGCAGCGGGCGACATGGCAATACAGGTGGCAGCAATCCCGCTGGACTTTCGACTCTCTGCTGAAGATGTGCTGCAGCTGCTGCTGCGGGCGGCTCCCTCCGCTTGCGTGGCGCTGCCGCACTTCTTTAACTGGTGGCTGCCCTTTAGCATGCAGCCACCGCAGCAGCAGCAGCAGCAGCAGCAGCAGCAGCAGCAGCAGCAGTTTCAATTTATGGACCCCACAGCAGTGCTTGCCCTGGAGAAGAGGGTTTGTTTTGAAGATGCTGTGCTGCTGTCGCAGCGCTTCTCGCTGCTGCATGTGGCAGTTGACGACCCTCCGCTGCAGGCATATGAAGCCCCAACAGCTGCTGCTGCTGCTGTTGCTGCTGCTGCGCCTGCTGCTGCTCTTGCTGCTGCTAGGTCTGTTTGCCAAGAGCTGCAGCAACAGCGCGTTGCTGTTGCGCCAGTTGCTGAGGGCACGCTGCTGCACTGCAAGGGAAACACCGCAACGCTGCTGCCTGCTGCTGCACGAGATGCTGCTGCTGTGTCTCCCCCAGGCAGTCACGATGCTGCTGCTGCTGCTGCTGCTGCTGCTCAGAAGTGCTGCTGCCCCACACTTCTGTTTGGGCAGCCTAATATGCAGGAAGTGGAAGTGCTGCTGCGACAAAAGGGCTTTGCTGATGTCAGCATCACTACTGCTGAGCCAGCGGGTGCGCCCCACGCATGCTGCTGCTTAGCTGCTGCCCCACTGGAAGCAGCAGCAGCAGCGCCAGCAGCAGCAGCAGCAGCAGCAACTGCAGCAGCAGCAGCAACTGCAGCAGCCCTCGCGACAACGGAAGTCCGCGTTCCCTCGCTGAAGGCCTCGCTCAGGTATTACCCCTGCTGCAACATTGTGGATGTGCATGCACCGCAAGCAGCAGCAAGGCAGCTGCTGAGGCAAGTGCTGCAGCAGGTGCTGCTGCAGGCCACCATGCACGAGGCCTCTTGCTGCTGCCGGGCCAGCGCCCCCGTTTCCTAGATGCTGCTGCTGCTGCTGCTGCTGCTGCTGCTGCAGCGAGGCTTCTGGCAGCATGCGTAAAGGCCCCTATTCCTAGAGTTGGTTTTTCAAATCAAAGACAGAACAGCAGCAGCTTTGCTGAGTGCTGCTGCTGCTAAGAACTTAGTGAGCTGTACTGACAGCCAGTTAAGGCCTGCGCAGTGCAGCCCGCAGCATTCGGGCTGCAGCTTTTCGCAGTGCGCCTCACGGCTTGGCGCAGCAGCAGGTGGCTGCTGCTGCAGCTGCTGCTGCAGCTGCTGCTGCAGCTGCTGCTGCAGCTGCTGCTGCAGCTGGCAGCAGCTGCAAGCAGCAGAGTTGGCGAGCAAAGTTATTCAAGGATACTTCTTTGGCCTCCACAGAAAATATGCCGGGGCAGTGGAGTAGCTGTGGGTTTTTACTTATTGGCGCTGTCACTTGTGCTGCTTCTCGCAGCAGCTACTGCAGCAAAGCTGCAGCAAAGCTGCAGCAAAGCTGCAGCAAAGCTGCAGCGAAGCCGCAGCAAAGCTGCAGCAAAGCTGCAGCAAAGCTGCAGCAAAGTTGCAGCAAAGCTGCAGCAAGGCTGCAGCACAGCAGCAAATGTGGCCTGCGGCGGGACTGCCCTGCGCAGCGCAGGTACAGGTGGCAGTGTTTCTGTCCCCAGGGTCTAGGGTTTAGGGTTTGGGGTTTAGGGTTTATTTCAGTATGAGCTGCCTTTGGCCGAATTTGCCATTATGAAGTGTTTGTGGGCATTCATTTAAACTCAATGAGGCCACAGGGCCACAAATGGCTGTAGCTAGCTAGCCCAGGGCAGCTAGCTACCAGTGTGGCTAGCCAGCTAGGAGTGGCTAGCAGCACAGCGCCGTGGCTTGGTGGCTTTTGCCTTTTAATATTATTACTATTATCGCTTTCCGCATTATTGAACTGTCTTGCAGTTTCAGAAGTGGCAAACAAAGAAGCCAAAGAAGACACAAATGAGGGGCAATTTACGTTGAAATGCCCGTTTTTAGTGCTGTATGTACACTGAAGATGCATTCACTGTTTCACGCAATTCGCCGAAACCAATGCAACCTCCAGTGGCCTCAATGGCCTAAAATAGATATATTTTTATTCTTTAGTATTCAAAGCAGCACTACTTGGCCTTTTTGGCTGTGCTTTCTGGACTAATTCGTTTGTTTCTCAACATGTAGGCCTCTGTTGAGGGCTTCGCTGGGCTGATTAGCTCAGGGTTGCTGCGGGTTCCCCTAGCGGGATGCCGCAAAGGGAGTGGCTTTTGAAGTTGCGTTGAAAAGTTTGTTTTGTGTGAGTGGCTTTGCAGTGGAGTTGGAAGTGATGTCAGTGCGGTGTATCTCCACCCCGCTGCAGCTGCACGCAGCGTGCCGGGATCCGAGTTCCTTCTTCAACTAAAGAGCGCTCTCTGGCGCCAGTTTTGCAGGGATTTGCAAAAAAATAACATTGAAGCTGGAAGGCAACAAAAAGAGGCGCAGGAATTGGCTGCTGGCGGCAGATCGGCGCGCAGGTTGCTGCTGCTCTGGGGTGTATGCGCATCGTGCAGACGTGCAGAACTGGCCACTGCGGCACCTCCGAAAGAGTTGCAAGTTTTTTCTCCGTCCATTTCAAATTTAAACAACAAATTTTGAACTTTTAAGCGGATGTGTCGCAGTTTTCGGGCCCGCAGCAGCGCCGCCTGCCGACAGCAGCGACAGACAGCCCCAGCGGGCTGCTGGCCGTCTGGGCGAGTGCGGTGGCCCGGAGCCGCCGGTGTTCTTTTTTAGGTTTGACGCAAATCTTTTGCAGATTTAAACGGACAAGAGGAGAGCGGAGGGTCTCTGCTGCAGTTATTTGGAGCGTCTGCGTTGCCCCGCGTGGACGGCGAGCCCTGCTGCTGCAGCGAGCGGCCTTTTCGCCGGCCTTCTGCAGCAGCAGCAGCGCGCTGAGGGCGTTTCCGCGCGCGTTGCTGCTGCAATGGGTGGCCCGGCCAGCTAGGGAGCCGCAGCAAGACCACGGGGGCCTCCGCTGCTGCTGCTGCTGCTGCTGCTGCTGTGCGCTGTCTTGTGTGGCCGTCGCGCTGCAGCAAAATGCTGCACCTCACGCTGCGCTGGCTCGCGCTCATTGCGCTGGCCGTGCTGTTCATTCTGCAGCAGCTCTACGAGCCCCTGGTGACCATTTGGGTGGCCTTGGGGGAGTTCTTCCACTGCGCCAGCTTCGTGCTGCTGCTGGACTTGCTGATCTCCAACAGGGGCTTCAAAGGACTCAGCGTCAAAACGCAAATTCTCTTCCTGCTCGTCTACTGGTTCCGCTACTTCGACAGCTTCTTCACCGACCATCCCAACCACTGGATCAAGGTGCTGCTGCTGCTGCTGCTGCTGCTGCTGCTGCTGCGCGTTTTTCCTGCTGCTGCTGCTGCGCGTTTGCCCTGCTGCTGCTGCTGCGTGGCTCCGTGCGCTGCGCAGCGGGTCAGCAAGACGAAGCCCCGAAGTCTGAGAAAGAAGTCTTTGCAGCTTTCTGCACAAAGAGCAGCAAACAGAGGCTCGAATTTCTTTTTCCCGCGCTGCTGCTTTGCTGCTGCTGCTGCTTTGCTGCTGCTGCTTTGCTGCTGCTGCTGCTTTTGCTGCGGAGGGTAGAGTTGAGTGTGTGCAAGACTAAGGGAGAAAAGGGACTTGTCGGAAAGCCGTTGCTGCAGCTGCTGCTGCTGCAGGGCTGCTGCTGGGGCTGTGTCTGCTGCTGCTGCGGTGGCAGGCGCTGAAGTTCTTCTACATGGCGAGCTCTTTGGTGCTGGTGCTTTCGATTTTCTGGCTGCGGCAGTCTTGGGAAAGAAGAAAAGACTCTTGTTCGCTGCCGGTCTTGTGCGTGTTGTCCGTTTTGCTGGGGACCCTCAACTTCCTGCTGGACCAGCCGAAGCCGGGGTCGAACTTTGAAGTTTTGCTGCAGTATTTGTGGATTATTTCGCATTATTTGCAGGTATTTATTGAAAAAAGCGGAAATTTGATGTTTTTATTTCAAGTTTCCCGCGGATTCCGCAGCTTTCCGCAGCTTTCCGCGCGTTCAGCTTTCCGCGCGTGCAAGTTGAGGTGTACGTACACCCCGTGCCGCGTGCGCGCAGGGCTTCGCCATGCTCCCGCAGTTCATTTTTTGTTACCGCGATCCCGAAAACGGCGACAAGTTGTTGACTTCTTACGTTTTAGTTTTGGGAACTTACAGGTTTTTCTACGCTCTCAACTGGATTGAACGCAAAGTCACCCACAACTTCTTCTACATTTCCGGCCCCGTCGGCCTCGCCATTCTCGCGATCTTCCTCGCGGACTTCATCGCTTTCAAACTCCGACACAAAAGCTGCATTTCTTCCTTCGTCCTCCGCATAGGTCGGCCGCTGCTGCTGCGCTGCTGCTGCTGCGCTGCTGCTGCTGCGCTGCTGCTGCTGCGCTGCTGCTGCTGCGCTGCTGCTGCACGGCGGTTGCTGGGCTGCTGCTGCGCTGGTGCTGCACGGCGGTTGCTGGGCTGCTGCTGCGCTGCTGCCGGGCTGCTGCCGGCCTGCGTCTGCTGCCGCGCTGCAGCTGGGCTGCTGCTGCGCTGCAGCAGGTCTGCTGCTGCCCCTGTGCTGCTGGAAGCCCTCGTTTTGCTGCTGCTGCTGCGGCGCTTCGTGCTGCGCAGACGACACAATGCAAGTCTCGAGGCTGCCGCTCCTTTCTGGACTTGGAGATGAATACGAACGCGTCAATCCGGAGGGGGGGGCCCCCGGGGGCCCCCCCTCGGGGCCCCCGGGCCCCACAGTCATAGCTGTGGGGCGCGCGGCCCCTGTCGAGCTGGACTCCCGCACTGTGCAGGTTCTGGGGAGGCCCCAGGGGCCCCCGCTCTACGACGAGCCCCCAGGTGAGACTCCCCAGTGCTGCTGCTGCTGCTGCTGCTGCTGCTGCAGGGAGCCTGTGCTGCAGCGGCTGCTGCTGCTGCCCAGGCCCCGTGCTGCAGCGGCTGCTGCCCGGGGCCTGTGCTGCAGCTGCTGCTGCTGCTTCCCGGGGCCTGCGCTGCAGAGGCTGCTGCTGGTGCCCGGAGCCTCTGCTGCAGCTGCTGCTGCTGCTGCTGCTGCTGCTGCTGCTGCGTTGTTTGCAGAGCCTTATGTGGCACCTTCTCTGCCGCCCCTTTCTCAACAAGGCGCAGCAAATGCTGCTCCCGAGGGGCCCACTCGGGCTTGCACAGTTCCTTCTTCTCCAGTTGCAAAAGAACTTGAGCTGAAGTCTCTTGTTTAGTCTCAGGAAGCTCCCGGCGCTGCTGCTGCTGGTTGGCTGTTTGCTTCTCCCGCTGCGGGCAGCTGGGGGCCTCCAGAGCTGCGCGGGCTGCTGCTGCTGCTGCTGCTGCTGCTGCTGCTGCTGCCGCGGCGGCGGTGGCGGCGGCGCCCGTGGGGCCCTGCTGCAGCTTTCTAGCCAGAGAAGAGGCCCCACTTGCCATTAATGGCCCCACAGCTGGCAGCTTAACGGGCTGGCTGCGTGCAAAGAAAGCCACGCTGCTGGGGGCTGGCTGAAGCAGCAGCAGCAGCAGCAGCGGCCGCCAGGGGCGGGGCAGCAGAAGTTGATTTGAGTTCAAGTTGCGTTTCCTGCAGCCGCGGCTGCAGCAGCGGCTGCAGCAGCGGCTACGGCGGCGCTGCAGCAGCGGCGCTGCAGCAGCGGCGCTGCAGCAGCGGCAGCGGCAGCCGCTGCAGCAGCAGCTGCAGCAGCGCTGCAGCAGCTGCTGCAGCAGCGGCTGCAGCAGCACTGTACAGACAGCACAGATGGGTGGGTGCTTCGTCAGGTTTGCTTACTTTCGACACAATTAACAAACGGAAAGTGACTTTTGCAATGCCCTTTGTTTAGGCAAGAAGCCTTCGGGCCAAGTTTGCTTCAGGGCTGAGTTTGTTTGCAAACAAATTCAAAACTGCATCTTGCAGCAAACCTGCGCTTTCTAGTTTGATAAAGGAGAGGCTCCCGCAGTTCAAGTTTTTGCAAAAACAAACAAAATGCAGAAAATGTTTTACATTTTTATGCAAAAACAAATGGAGTGTATGTACCCTTGTTTACTCTTTGTGCAGTGAGCGTTGCGGCTGGAAACTGGCGCTGCTCATAGTTGAATTCTTGAATTTGAGTTGAAAACTTTTGCTAATCGGGGAAAAGCCGGAAAATTCTTTTGCAAGGCAACTAATGACATTTAGAAGTAACTTGAAATCGGCAGAGAGGTTAAAGAAGAGTTGAAATGGAAAGGATCGCTAGAGGCTCGCGAGGCGGCCCCTGGGAGGCAGGGGCTTGTTTGGGGGGAATTTGGCAGCAAAAACGAAGCAAAGTAGAAATTCCTTTGCAAAATCGAAGTAAAGTGCAGCAACTTGAGTTAAATCCAGCAAAGGAAGTCACTGAACTGTTGAATCGCGAATAAAATTCGCCCAGTGACCCCGCGAATGGGCAGGCGGCACTGAGCTCTGCATTCACCATTGGCTTGAATCATTTCAGAAATGCACATTTCAGAAAAGACACGGATGAGCCACCAACCCAGAAAGGAATTTCAAAAAGATAAGGAATGCAGAGGAGCTGCAAGAAAGGATCTGCAAAGCAGCGCAATCAAATCAATTTTCCAACTTCACAGATTCTCCCGGAACTCCCAGGCCTTCATTGAGTAATATGCAACATTCGTGACTCCAATAGTCAGCAGAAGTAGAGGAGCGACTTTCCTGGACGCCTGCAGAAAGCAGCAGCAGCAAAAGGAAAGCTGTCTTCGTTTTTCGTGAAAAAACGGCGTTTGGCGCTTTAAAACATGCACAAACTCGAACATTTATTGTTTTATTATATATTTATTAGTTTGTTTGCAAAAATTCAAGAAAATGTTGACGGCTTGCTGCTGCTGCATGCGCACCCGACACCACCTCCTCGCGCCTATGGCGGTGCAGGCGGCGCCCGAAGCTGCAGCGGCGATGCTGGCAAAGCCAATGTGGTCCGTTTTCTGAATGGCCAGGCCCGAGACGGCAAAGGCGCAGCAAAGAGCAGCTCCTCCTGCAAGAGAAGCTGCTGATCCTGCCCGCAAATAGCCGTACATGCCGCAGCCGAGGACTGCAGCAGCGCTGGAGAGGGCCAAGTGCTGCGCCATACTTTCGAAGCTGAAAGGATCACACGGGAAAACGCGAATTCGCGCTGTTTCGGCTCCACGCCCAACACTCGGCGCCGGCGAACCTGCAATATATTCGCTACAGCCCTAATCTAAGCCTCCTCTCAAGAATTAACGCTCTTGTCTCGAAAATAAAATGCATCAATCACTGTATTGTATTGTCCGCAGCGTTCAAACCCGCAGCACAGGCCTCCGCATTGCAGAATTACGCCCAAGAGTTCTCCAGCCCGCTGTTGTCACTGGGGCCCCTCTAGTGCAGTGAATGCATGCAATATTCCCCTTGCGAAGCAAAATATTGTGACATTCTCTGTTTTATTATTAAAATTTATCTGCAAATTTCCACCTTCACACCCTCGTGTCGATTCCTTCCATAGGATCCCGGCTTTGTCGTTGCTGCCGACCGCTCTGGGCGCCCTGGGCAAACTCTGCAATGTTGCAAGTTTGTGCAGCGGCAATAGTAAAGTGCCTCTATATGTCTTAAACTGACTTTTCCATTTGTTGTCGGAGGAACAAAAGGGGTAAACATGAGGCTAGATGTATATGAAGATCAGCCAGCCCGCTGTGAACTCGCGGGCGAGCACAAGATTTCGGGAGGAATCGGCTGACTAAAGCAGCGCTTAAACTTGTCTATTTCCATTTAGTTTTACTAAATATTTGCGTGCCAATATGTAAGCTAGTTCTAATCTTTCTAGTCTTCCATTGGCGGCTCATTGTGGTGAAATTGCACACGCCGCTCGTTCCCTGCACCGTCGCCTCTCAGAAGAGTATATAATTGCCCTCATGCGCCACAAACTGGCTCCGAGTTAACCTCAAAAAAGCTCAAACAAAAAAAAGAAAAAGCAGAAGCATCACTTGTTCAAATACAGTGTCGTTTGGTGGACTTTCTGCTGCTTTCTGCTCCTTTCCCGCTGCTGCTCAACTGCGTCAGCAAGCAGTAAGTAGCCCTCCCTTTAGGCCCTCATTTAAACTTGCAAGTTGAAATGATCCATCTGCTTTGGCATAATGCGTTAGTAAAAAGTCAACTTCTCGGGTTCTAACGCCCTTAGATCATATTGCCGTTGCCGAAAATGTTCTGCGGGTCGACGGCGCCCTTGGTGGCGCGCAGGAGTTCCATCCCTGCAGAAATACCGAAAGTGGACGCGAAACGGAAAACAAAACAGCAAATAAACGGATTAAGACAGAATACGCAAGGACAATGCAGCAGCAAGGCAGCAAACAAGGCCGCGCTGTAAGGTTTCCGTTGTAAGGTTTCTGTTTTGTTCAAAGTGCAGCTCTCGAGCTTCGTTTTTACCGGTTTTGCCGACTGCTTTGGCCATGAACTCTTTCCTCAGCTTCCCAACACCATGGTGGTGAGAAATCGATCCTTTGCAGTCCAGAATGACTTGGCGCGCATTGTGTTCGACTTCACTGAAGACCTGCAAGAGGAGCAGCAAGCAGCAGCAGCAGCAACAAAAGGGCCATTCACAGCGCAAGCAGAACAAAGCAACGCAAAATAGACAAACTATAAATGATAGTGCTTAGATAGTCAGCTTTATTCAAATGCATTGTCGCATCTGCTTCTACAACTTCAATTTGAAAGAATGCACCCACTCACCTTTATGGGTTCCCTGAGCCCTGCCCAGTTGAAGCCAAAATAAAAGTACAAAACGGCGCCTCCGTCGTAAACTTGTGTGAGTCGCACCATAACCAAAGGCGGGTATTTAATGCCGAGGCGGGAACAGTCACTTTTTATTCTATCCTTAACCCTCTGGTAGCAAACCAACACCACTGGCCACGCCATGGAGGCCTCGAAAGATTCAACAATCCAGTGATGTTCCATGATGAAGTCCCTGAGACAGACATAAAAACCTTCTTCTTGTGCATTCAAAATGAACAGAGATGTTGTATTCGCACATATGCCCGCAAGCATTACTGCATTTGCCTTTGAGGTTGTCCGTGCACCTCTGAAAGCATGTATTTCGGTATAAGATTATCATAAGTTGTTTTTTTCTTCTGTTTTGAATAGTATCTCAATAAGAGGTGACAGGGGAGTGGGATCACCTCAAATATGCAATTAAGAAAGTCATTTGGTATCCTCTCTCCCCGTTGCTGCTCCCGGCCGGAAGGGCTCCGTAAAGTTTCGCAGCTTTATATATGTTGCTTCGCTGTGTATTTACTTCCTCTGTGGTGCCCTCGAAAACGAGAGTGCAGCCGCACAGGTCTTCTTCCTTCCACCCCTTGATCTTGTTCAGGTAAAATTTCTTGAGGCGGTCGGCCAACAGCTCCTTCAACGGGGGACCCCCTGTGAGAACAGAACACGGTGTTGCTGAAAGCCATGAGCAGGGCGGGAATAAAGAAAAATATATTTGGTATTTAAATGGGTATTATTACAAAGAAACACGCTGCACCCCAACGAGACGCAAGTCCCTGAGATTTGATCACGGGCAAGAATGAACAAGTTGTGCATGAACTACATGAAAAGAAGCAGACAAATACGATTAAGTTTGTGACTAAGTACTTTAAATGTGCGCCGCAGCAACCACACAGCAAATCAAACCCATGGGACATGCCGAGCCAATGAACTAGTCGAAATATACCTGGGGGTGACACCCTGAAAAGGGAGCCGCACTGCGTCTGCGTCTTGTCCATCAGACGAATACTGGCTGGCTGTAAATTGTCCAAAGCGACATGTCGTAAAAAGTGAACGCCAGCAGTAAAGGTAGGGAAGGCGAGGCAGCCGTAGGCCTTGCACTGTGCAGCCCCCATAGAAAACAAACACACGACACCCAATTAACATGAATTAATCAAGAGATTCCACTAAATGCAGAGAGGTCCACTGGTCACACGGATTGGAATAAGGGCCTGGGGTCCTACTCCAAGTACGGGAACGAAATGCGTGTGTGAGCCTTCTAATGCAAGCAAAGCTAATCTGGCGCCTGCGTAATGCAGGCGTTTCTGCCATTGCGACTAAGCTCTATGAATTATTTCTGTTGCTGCTTAGCTCTTCAGCACAGCAGCACGGGCTATCCCTCATTTCAGCAGAAGGCAGCGCAGCAGCCCAGACAATGGTCATTTTGGACCAGTGGTCTGTTTCTTCTCACCTCGGGCAGCAACTTGACCTTCAGCAGCACCTGCGTGATAATGCCTAAAGTCCCTTCACTACCCAACATCAGCTGCTGCAGAGAAGGGCCCGAGGAAACCCGAGGCGCGGATTGCTGCTGGTTTAAACTGCCCTTCGAGGTGACTACCACCACGTCCACCACCATGTCCTCTATGTTGCCATAGCGGTTCTTTTTCATGCCTTGAAACAAAAAATAATTAAAACAATTGCGAGAGATGTTTTCTCAGCGCCTTCATATCCCTACTTTTTAACTCTCCACCTAGTGTTGGAGTTTCTGTTGCCACCAGGCTCCTGAACGCGCCAGCTAGGCAGGGGAGAACGGCCAGCAGCCTTCTAGCTAGCTGTTCAGGCAGCTGGCTAGCTAGCTAGCTAGCTAGCTAGCTAGCTGTGTGGTTCTCACCTGAGGCCCTGGTGGCCACCCAGCCGCCCACAGTGCTGAACTCCATGCTGTCGGGCTCGTGGCCCAGAGTGACCCCGTGCCTGCGGAGCCTTTCTTCGAGGGAAGCGCCCACGGCCCCCGCCTCTACCCACATGAGCAAAGCGTCTTTGTCAAGAAAAAGAATTCGTTGCATAAAAGCCAAAGACACTGTCGCCACCATGCGGCTTTCAGACACAGGCACTGCCACCCCCAAAGTCACCGAAGTCCCACCCCCAAACGGAATCAAGCAAACATTATGCCGGGAAGCGCACTCCACAATGGCCTCCACGTCCTGCGCAGTCCAAAGCCCCACAAACACGCATGCACCGCATGCAGCGCATGCAGCGCATGCAGCGGATTCGGGGGATGCAGCGCATGCAGCGCATGCAGCGGATTCGGGGGATGCAGCGCATGCAGCACAGGCAGAAGCACGAGAACACGGGCAAAGGGGGAATCCACGGGGGAACGAAGGCTCGTAGAAAGAAAGCAAAGGAGTGGAAACAGCGGCAGAAACAAAGACAAAAGCCCATGGAAGGCAGAAGCAGCGAAAAATAGACGCAGCCACAAGGCAGAGGCAGCAGCAGGGCTGACGGAGGCGCAAAGGAGAGCAGCAGCTTCGGGGAAACCGAAACAAAGCAGCAGCAGCAGCAGCAGCAGCAGCAGAAGTGAAGGCACCTTGTGTTCCTTCGGATACAACACCACGTCGGGCAGCCTCGCCACAGTCCCGTATCTCAACTCGAAGATCTCGTTGCAGGTGTGTCCGTGGCCATGGAAAAGCCGCTCTTTTTCAGAGTTCGCCACTTCAATTTCAGGAGCCTGCAGCAGCAGCTTTCGGGTGCACGCGCTGCTGCTGCCACTTGCTGCTGCCTCTTGCTGCTGCCTCTTGCTGCTGCCGCTTGCTGCTGCCACTTGCTGCTGCCACTTTCACTAAGGCTTAACTAATGAGGCAGCAAAAAGGCTATTTAGCAGCTACGTGTTGCATATCTGCCCACAGAAAACTCATGTCTATGTGGATCGGAACAGCAGCAGGTGGTGTGAGTGCAACTGAGTCCTACAAGGCCATCTTGAACTGGACATTTATTTCTTTCAAGTTGTACAGAATACTTCTCATTAATTAAACATTTCTTTTCAAATTAAACCTGTAAAAAGTGAAAACGGCTTAAGTGGAGGAGTTGCTGCTGCGGCTTGAGCTTCTCCTAGCCAGTGCACTTCTGCTGTATCCCTGAGCCTCTCTAACAATCACTAAAAAGTACCAGCTGCTGCAGCTCCTTAATAAAGGCTTCGTTGTAAACCCGCTGCGGGGGTATCACAAGAGTGTCTTGAGCTGGCGAACTGAAGGCAAACTCTATGCCCGGAATGGACTCCATGAATTCGTGCCAGTGGCCCATGTCCACGCCGCAGAGGGAGTATCTGCAGAGAGGCAGCAACACATTGAAGCAGCAGCAATGGCTGCAAAAAAGCCACTTTGTTCGCCATGGAGGAGCAGCAGCAGCAGCAGCACTTTCTGCTGCTGCTGCTGCTGCTGCTGCTGTGTGGCACTGCTGACCGGGAGCCGTGAAGGCGAATCATTGAGGCGCTCGACATGGACACGTAAGTGTCGCAGTAGCCCCAGCCGTTCCACTTGCAAGTTTCGACTTTGTTGCGGCCAAAGAGGCGGCAGTCCATCACAGAGTGGCCCCCCCCTGACCTCTCGGCAAAAACGTGCAGCGCCAAACGCAGCGAACTTGGAGACCCGAAAAAGGGAGCCATCCACGACGCGTCTCCTTTGCAGTCATCTTTGGGGTCTGCGAAGTCCTTTGCGCGCGTCGCCAGCTGCTGCTGCTGCTCCTCAGCTTTCTGCTGCTGCTGCTGCTGCTCAGGCTTCCGCTGCTGCTGCTCCCGTGCCTGCTGCTGCGCACCCCGGACTCCAGCAGCCCCAGAAGGCCCTGAGCGGGCCTGCCCAGAGCTGCTCATTGGCGAACCGCGAGAAGGTAAAGGTGCAGAGGGCCTGCTGAAGGGCTGCTGCCCGCGTCAGAAAAGAAAGTTGAACTCTGCGCCGGGACGGCGGCTGCTCGAGAGGGCTAAAATCCCTCTATGAGGGCAGAAAAAAGTTGCCCATTAATAAACAAATCGGTTTCAATGCCAAAAGTCAACAAGAATGACGCAAACAATCACGAGGAAACACCGCGCCAACAGCAACGCCTTGCTAGTCCATCACCACAGGTGCTGAGGACTATTCTTAGAGGCGGAGGAAAGGCGAAAAAAACAATTCACAAAATTAGAAACACTGAAGATCTAAGAAGCAGAAAGTCATGCAGTGTTTCAACACCACCTGCAAGCTCGCGCGTCAGCTGCGGTCCATTCCCTCGGCTGCGCTCCCCTGTAGCAAGAAAAAAGCGAAAAGGAGAGCCTCTTGGAAAAAAAGTAAATTTGTGACACAGCCAGGACACATAAACACAACAAAAGACAAAGAAAACTGTGTTTCTTACGCCGTATCCGCTTTGCCAAAGACAAAACAAAAAGACCACTGGTAAGGTGCGGCTGTGAGCGGTATCCTTCCGAAGACCCGAATGGTGTCAGTCTGCGCTCAGCAGCCTCATGAGCGGCTAATTCGCCATTAAAATAAACAGAAAAAATCTAATGATTAATTAAATTAACTTCATTTTATTCACACTGAGCTGGAAAAACCGGGAGAGCTGGATCGTTACGCATTGCCTCACCGAAAATTGCGCGGGGGATTACAGAGGCATTCACCACTGAGCGGCTGAACAAGGCTGAAATGTGCAAAATTTAATGAGCAACTCCATTAAAGATACTCTTTATTTTTATTTGACTTTTCTTAATAGGAGCACTGAATGTTTTGGGGGCTAACGGGCGTTTCCTTGCTCTCCGGAAAGGGTCAGCGTCGCATGGCCATCTCCTTAAAAGTAGAGAAGGCTCAAAAATGGACTGCAAAAACACTTGATTCTCCCTCGTTGGACTTTGTAAACGCATGGTCTAATTTATTCGCCTCAGACTGTAGATTTTCTTCCGTTTCTGCAGCAGCTCGTGAGTGGTATCAAACACTCTACGCTGAACGAACTTGTCTGGCCTCCTTTCCTTTTTAGTTGGCTGTTTTTGCACTTAATCGCTCCATTTTTTGTTATTAAGGCATTATTACATCAGTTTGTACCTCTTTTGTGAGTAAAGTGCAGCGGAAAACGCAGCTGGAGCGGCGGTGGCCGTTGCAGCTCGCCGAGTTGATATCTACATTCCTCAAATTCAACACCTCTTTATGCACTTGCTACGCTTTTGACTTTCTTTTTTCCCCTATTTTTCAAAACGTCTGTGCTACTGAGGCCTCTCAAAGTCTCCTCCGTGAGGTGCTGCGGCTTTTGCCGTTTCACCTACAGCATTTTTGTAAGCAATTTGCGTGGCTAGAATAAAAACTTTGGTATCCTGCTGTTACTTCTAGGCCACTGCTGCACTCAAAGCTTTGATTTATCAAACAAAAGAATCAAATAAGAGACGAGAACAGAAAAGAGGAAGAAAGTCAAACAAAATGTGAGTTGTAAACAAAGAGGAAGTGCCCCCTAATTTCCCCAACACAGCGCTGGTGTCCTGTTTGGGAACCAAATGAAGTAGTAGACTTTGTCTTCGGCAAGATCTGCTTTGAGCTGTTTGTCTTTACTTAAAAGAAATCTGAATCTAAACCAATTCTCGCTTTATGTGGACTGCTGTCGATTGGGGCCAGTTATATGCTCACTGAAGCCCTCTAAAATTCGACTTCAGACAATTTAATTTTCGTCTTTCTTTTGTTTCTGTCACAAGAGTAGGAGCGCTACGCAGCACAGCTCCAGCCACTGGAGACTTCGGGAAAAGTATAATGAAGTTTTAAGGCAAGGAAATGCCTTTTGGAGCAAAAAGACAGCTGTATTTGTCAAGGCTGACTCCTCAGAGGGTTCCAGAGTGCCCGCAGGCAGCAATTGCTGCTGCTGCACCTTCTGCTGCTCAAGGTTTGAGTGCAATTGCAGTTGCTGCAGTGTGATCGTAGCTTCTCTTATTTATTTTCCGTGTCTACTGTCTCACTCTAATGGCTAGCACTTTTGAGTTCTTTTTCACTTTTCTTTTTATTGAAACTTCCCGTTAGCTGTACACTTTGTCACGGTGACTGCGTGGCTTCGGAAGAAAACTGCCGCCATCAGGAACTTCTCAGCACTTTTAATAAGAAAAGATGCTGCATGGTAAATTACTTTTGTTTTAAAAGCTAAACTGCAGCACTGTTTTGTCCGCTGCTGCCCTCAGTTGCTGGGATTCTCCTTGCCGCTGAAAGGTTTCAGTAGAAAGGCGCCTCTTCCGTCTAAAGGCTAGTTTGTCAGAAATCCAAATTTAGATTTTATCTAAATTCAGATCTCCATTTGCATTCAGATTTGCATCTTGAAAGACTCTTACGCTTTTTAGTTTAATTTTTCCTGAAATTGCACTTATGAGGGTCAAGACCTCAGAGCGAAACTTGAAGGCAAACAGCCTCCCTTAAGGAACATGACTGAAGAATGGCCTTTTAAATCCCCTGTTTGTGGACACTGACAATTACTGCTGCACCTTATAAAATCATAAACGAAAGAGGGCTGTACTTAGCAGTGCTGCTAATATAATGGCAACAAACAAGCAGACGTGAAGAGGAAATGCCCACGCTGGGGTTGTAGTAGCTAATTTGTTGCCTTGGAGATGTTTTAGCCACTGTTGAAACAGAAAAGAAGGGCTGGAGGCTTCTGGGGTTGCTTAAGTTGGCAGGCGAGGGGGAAGGTCCTGCGCGGCCGCTACTTCCCAGGCTTGCATTGCGAAATGCAGCTCTTAACTACATTCAGAGAATGCATCCAAAGGCATCCTCACTCATGACGGCCTTACAAAGACTTTTGAACACAAGCCCGGTGTTCGAAATGCTGCAGAATGTGGCTTTATCTGCCACCAGCACGGAAACCATGAAAGCAGGAATAATACTCAGTGCAGAAGAGCTAATATCTACAGCAAAAGTGAAATTTCTGTCTACGATGCATATATGATTGGACAGGCAGCTTTTGAAGTCGTTGGAAACCTTGAAAAGATCCTTTGGAGGTCTGGTCACTCTGCACGGCCGCAGAGCCAGACTTGAAATGAATGAGCCTCTATGTGGCTGTAAGTGAGCGCAAGATGCTGTTTGGCAAATCTTGCGAATCCCCACAATTTAGCGTATGGCGGAGTCTGGATCTCCTCCAAGTTGTTATAGATTTGGGGGGCCTTTGCTGGGGCCATCTTTTGATGGCTCCCTTTAGTCAGTGTTTTTCTGTTGCTAGTTGGCATTTTGGTGGTGCTCAGCTCTAGATTTCAAGATCTTCTACTTATCAAACACAGTAAAAACTCAGCAGCTCCAAACCCTGTAGCGTTACAGACATTCCGTGCTAGTTGCCAGCAAGGACTAGGTGACCCATGAAGCCTTGGGAGAGCTTCGAAGAGCAGAAGTTCCCATTTTCCGACCGCAGAGGGGGCGGACAAGCGTGGCACCCAACTACGGAAGCATTTAGAAAAAAGAAAGAAGAAATGAAGTGGTTTTTCTTCTTCAAACCACCACCTCGAAACGAAGCCATGCTGTAGACACGTTGAAGGAACAGCGCAACTGCGGGGTGGGATAAGAAAGCTCCCGCGTTCCCGTCCCCCCGTTCGTTTCTGCTTAAAAAAATCGGATCTAGTTTTGCTCTGACAAAATGAAAACACAAAGTAAAAAGGCTGGAGATAATTGTCTATTCAAAGGGCGGCACACAGGAATGCCCGCGACCCACACTGACCCCCAAGCCCCGCAGGCCGTCAGCCCCACGATGGCCAAACGCTCCGAAACCTTAAAAGCTAAGCTTTGAACCCTTCGCCACAGCCGTTGAGTTTATCTTCTGCAGTTTGTAGGCTGTCTTGACGCAGAAGTTCAACTTGCTCTAGTTGTTGGCGTGGCTGCTTGGCTTTCGTGGAATCTTTCCCCCTCAGCTCGCAGTCGGCTCAGGTAAAAACGCCGTGCAGAAATATTTTTCGTTTGCGAGGAATTTCTCTTTCGTTAAGTCTGTGGTTTCGAGTTTTTGCATTCTGCATTGTGGCGTCCGCTTGAGGTTTCCAGTGCTGCGCCTTCCACAGATCTGCTGCACGTGCGAAAACCCCGCAGCACGGTTGGGGCCGGCAACGGCAATAAGTCCTATTGCTTCTAGTTTTTATGTTTCAAATGTAATTGAAACTGATTAAAGCGTAAAAGAGCATGACTTCCAGTGCAGCTAGACGGCTAATGAGCGGCTGATGTGGAAGTGGCGACAGTGGAAGTATGGGACAAGCGCCGCGGGGAATAATACCTTCCAATATGTTCTGTCTGGCCTCAAAAATTAAATTAACTTGACGCATCTTCGCTATTGCATCAGTTTAAGTGGAAATTTATTTCGCTAGCGCTCGCTCAGTTCTGGCGTGACGGCAGCAGTTTGGGTGGCTCGCTGTGAGTTGCGCTGCTCTGGCGGTGAGTCTGGCGGCCAGCTGGTTGTCCTGTTGGTGGTGTTTCTGCCTTTTCTTTCTCTCAGGACTTTATTAAATTTGGCGGATTATCGTTGCATGTTTACTACTTTGTCTTTATTTTTGAAATCCATTTAAAATGACGCACCCCGCCATCGTCACCACGCCCGGCCGCTTCCTCTTCACCTCGGAGAGTGTCAACGAAGGCCACCCAGACAAGCTGTGCGATCAAGTTTCAGACGCAATTCTGGATGCTTGCCTTGCAGAGGACCCAAACAGCAAAGTGAGTTCTTAAATGCGTAGAAATGCGCTGCCGGCAAACCCGCAGGCGCCCTCAGCTTCCAGTGGTCACAGACACACACGCACAGTGGTCACGAAGCTTCCCGCAGCAGCAGCAGATCAAGCGGCCTTTTTCCCATTCAGAGCTTCTTTGTGTCCTAACTTTCATTTATTTGGCTTTTAATGCGGCCTCGCCGCAGGTGGCATGCGAGACATGCACCAAGACTGGCATGGTGATGATCTTCGGCGAAATCACCACCAATGCGAATGTCGACTACGAGAAGATCATCAGGGAAACCTGTAGGGTAAGTGCACTCTTAAGACTCTACCCTCTTATTCATATTAAATGCAACTCAAGGAGGACTTAGGGGCAGCGCTAGCTAGCCTCTCCTGCACAAGTTGTTCAAGAACAGCCCGCTGTTCAAGAACAGCAAGCAGCGAAGCTTTTAGCTGCAACTGGTGGCAGTTTTCGTGCTGCTGCTGCAGGACATCGGATACGATGATGAATCCAAAGGGCTGGACTACAAAACAATGAAGGTTGTGGTTGCAATTGAAGACCAAAGCCCAGAGATCGCACAGGCTGTCTATGTGAACAAAAACATAGAGGAAATTGGAGCGGGGGACCAAGTGGGCTGCTGCACATTTCGGAACAAAATAATGAATTTTTCAGCAATAAATGAAGCTTATTGTGCTTATATTGTGCAAATGCATTTATATTGATGCGTGGCGTGTAGGCAATTGTGCCGGATCTGCATATTAGTCTTTTTTTCTGGCTTTTTGCTTGCAGGGCCACATGTTCGGCTATGCTTGTGATGAAACTCCGGAGCTAATGCCTCTTAGTCATTCTCTTGCAACAAATTTGGGCAAACGCCTCACTGATGTCCGCAAGTCGGGGGTCTTGCCTTACATCCGTCCAGACGGAAAGACACAGGTGATTGAATAATTCAAAAGCACTTTATCTCGATCTTCAGTCCCACCTCTTGTGAATACCGCGGCTGCTTCGCTTTCCTGTCCAGTGGCCAGTGTTTTATTTCAAAAAGTTTCAGATTTTCGGAAATTTTGTTTGATTTCGGTCATAATTAGCTAGTAATGCGTGCAGAAGCTCCGAAGCTTCCGGAGCTTCTGCTTTATTTCGACCATAATGAGCTAGTTTTGCGCGCAGAAGCTTCGAATTGTCCAATTTTTGGTTTTATTTCCATAATAAAAAGCCAGTTTTGCATATTTCTCTTGGTTTGTTCAGGTGACTGTTGAATACGACAACACGTCGGGAGTGCCGGTGCCCGTGCGAGTGCACACAATAGTGATTTCAACTCAGCACGCGCCGGAGGTGGCGAACGAGCAGCTGCGAAGGGATATAATGGAACACGTGATAAAGCCCGTTGTGCCGGCAAAGTATTTGGACAACAACACCATTTACCACTTGAATCCCTCTGGGCGCTTCGTGATCGGGGGCCCCCACGGCGACGCGGGCCTCACTGGCCGCAAGATCATCATAGACACTTACGGGGGTTGGGGGGCCCACGGCGGCGGCGCTTTCAGCGGAAAAGACTCCACGAAAGTTGACAGAAGTGCCGCTTATGCGGCGCGCTGGGCGGCCAAGTCCTTGGTGGCCAACGGGCTCTGCAAACGGTGCCTTGTGCAGGTGCGCGGCAAGCCGCCTTCCTTTTCTTTAGTGTCTTGTCAAATTCATGAGACTCTACTTGCCTCCATTTGCTTTGTCTCGTTGTTTCAATTTGGCTTGAAATGAAGAATTGGGCTGCTTTGAACACTTCGCTGTCTCTGATTTTTGACCAAATAGTGCCAAATGAGGGAAATCCACTTTCTCCGAACAATTTGCTGGCCTCGCGGTTCCGTGGATTCTGTCACTTAGTGTTTATGAATTTGTTGTGTATTGTCCGTGTTGTTTGGTCTGTTTGTTCATGTTTGTTGCTGTCTAGTTCTTACTGCTGCGTCTTGTCTTCTTGTTCGTGCTTCAGGTCTCGTACTCCATTGGCGTTGCCGCCCCTCTTTCTCTTTTTGTGGACTCTTATGGCACTTGTGCTGAGGGCTACACGGACGACTGCCTCTTGCGAATTGTCGCTGAGAACTTCGACTTCAGACCAGGAGTCATCCAGCGGGATCTGCGTCTGAAGGTGAACAGTCCTGCCAAGTTTCAAACATTTGATGAATTATTGAATGAGTTCAACTCATTATTTCACGTAGAGAGGATAGTATATGCGGATATCTCTTTTTTAGCTCGCTTCTGTTCGAGAGGGTTCCATCTTTCCTCACTTCTATTTTGAAAGCCAAGTGTTTCTCTGTGCTGCTTGAAACTGTGTTTCTGTGCTGTTGTTTGTCCTTTATTTGCCTTGTAAGCTTTCCACGAAAGTTTCTCCTTTTTCTTTTTCTTGTTTTTGCAGGAGCCGCTCTTCAAAGAGTTGGCGGCTTACGGCCACTTCGGCCGCTGCCCTGAGAAATATGCGTGGGAGAAGCCTCGCGACCTTTCGCATTGCAAGAAGTCAGCATAAAAGAAGCAACGGGAAGCAGCGAAAAGCTCTAGTTGCTTCTTTAGTAATCGGAAATAGAAAGGAATTTAAGGATTGATTAAATTGCTGCATTGCTATCGTCCCTCTAAGATAGTTTGCCCTTATTAAAGTAGCCCTCGAGACGAATCGTGCACTTCGTGAAAGCCCACGCATTTTAGCTCGCACAGGTTTGGCCTTCTGCCTGAATTGCGGGAGAAGAAAACCAATGCAAACGGAAGCACTTGCAAAGTACAGAGGATGAGATAAATCTAAGCATGAACTCAAAACGGGAGCGACAAGAAGACAGGCAGAATAGCAATATGGTTTTGTTGCGCTGGCGCCAGTTTTCCTGCTTAGGACCAGCTCTGAACATTCTGTGCGGATTGTTTGCCTATCTTTTCATTAATTTATACCTTAGTTGACTCTATTTGGCGGCAGTCGTAGCCGTGAGGCCACAGACGCACCCATTTAATTTATTGGAAGCGCGCCTTCGCTTCCGCCGACTGCAGCGCAGGAAGCGGGACCGTCATTGCCATTTATCTTGTGACGTCTCGTATTTTAATACTTTGTTGGAGCCGTGAATGCGGACAAACGACAAGTTTAATTGCTGAAAGCGGGCGTGGCGTTGAAAGACCAGCGGGCTTAGCCGCAGCAGTAGCCATACTTCTCAGTGCTATCTTAAGAACTTGAACTATGAAGAAAAGGATGCGAAAAGGCCCTTAAGGGTTTCTCCAGTTCTTTTGGCAGGGCAGAGAGTGACTGACTGTTTAGAAAACAAGAGGAATTCCAAGCCCTAGTGGGTCTGGGCGTTGTGTAGTTAAGTATTTATTCTGTTGACGTTTTGTTTGCCAAGTTGGCGAATGCAAGTTAACAGCTGGAGCTTCCTCATCTCCCGTCTTCACAACAGGTCTAGAGTGCGAAGGGAAATAAAACAAGAGAAAAGAAAAAGAATTAAAAGACTTGAAGGTCTCAGTCTACGGAAAAGCGAATTTCCCTTTCTGCTCTCCTTGATGAGACCCACGGCTGCTTGGGAACATGACCCGTTCGGTGCAGCGGCGGCACCGCTTCTGTTTCTTTGGATTTTTTTCGTTTTATTTCACAATTAAAATTGTGCAAAGTGTGTTTTAGTGGCTGTTCTGCGTGGAAAGCACTCGTTGCATCTTTCTGGGGCACGCCAGGGGGTCTGCTAGCCTCTGCCGCCTGATTGGCGTTTCTGGAGCTCCTGTTCGGACTTATTTCATTGTGAAATGCTTGTTCTTTGTTTATTGCATTTCTATTTTCTTTAGTTGGTCCATTTTCCGCATTCATCTCTATCAAAAGGTCAACTAGGAAGGGGCCTGCGCGGGCCTCTTTCTGAAATTCAAGTTCTGGCAAAGCCGCCGCCACCTCCAAGTGGAAACTGCTGCTAGAGGGGCTGGAAGGCTTTGCTTTGTTTCCGGCCTGCAAATAAATGCAATTGCAGCAATTCAAGCAGCCGAAACAGCCAATATTTTCATCTTTTGCCAATATTTTCATCTTTTGCAAGACTAATCAGATGCTTAAGCAAGTATTCCTTTAATCAAAAGCTTAGAAGCTTTCTTAATTCCTCACTTTGTCTTCCCATTCATATATGGCTTGGCAAAGACGCAGAGGGAGGCTCACGAGACCCGCGAGGTCTGCAGTCAGCATTAGCCGATGTTTCCTGCAGCGCAAGTTCATGAAAAATGTTTATTTGCATTTGCTGCTGGCATTTTGTCTAACTTTTTTCCTTTTTTTATTCATTTATCTGCATTTTCACTCCAAGTCCAGTGCAACTGCCAGCAGCTACAGTGGCCTATGTGACAGACTTGGAAAGAACCATTTCAAAGAACCATTTCAAGTTTAATTTTGCAGGCTCCGAGATTCCCCAAACGCGAAACAAAGACAAACAGCCAGCAGCTTCTCCCTTTAAGCAAATTAATTTGCTGCAGAACTTTCGAATTTAAACTTCAGCTTTTTAATTCTTAAGGGAGAGAAGCCGAGCCATTCTGGCAGCTGCTGCTCGTACTTGATGATGTGCGATTTGACATATTTATTTATCTTTCCACTTTTAGAGACAAAGGCCTCAGTCCACGCCGACAGCAGGCGTTGAGTGAAAGCAGGACTCTGCTGCAGCAGCAGCGCAGCGGGCAGCAAGGAGGCGTGCAGCAGCTGCTGCTGCTGCAGCGCGCTGCAGCAGCAACGCCACAGCCCCTCGTAGGCCTCTCCCTTCATGTCCAGATCGCCTGCAGCAGCCACAAGCCAGCAATTGCATTTCTTTTGTCTGCTGCTTCCCCCGTTTGGCTGTTTGTTGAATGCCTTCGTGGCCAAGCGCATGCATCTACTTGCACACTGAATTGGCGTCTTTCGACGGGAAACTCATTGCCTTTTGCTGCTCTTCAAATGAATTTAACTCCAAAATGAATAATTATTATGAATGAATGAAGGAAGGAATAATTATAAGTTCTTAATTGCATATTTGGGGCCAAAGCTGCACCTGCAGCTTCCAGCGCCTGAGCCGCCAGAGTTGGCCGCAGGCTTTGCCTCGAGGTTTCCAGGCGGTGGAGAGCCCCGGAAAGGAATGGAATGTCTCGGATCCTGACCTTTAAATTGGCAACAAATGAATCAATAAAAAGGAAAAATAATCAATTTAAATAATCAATTTAAATAATTAAATCAGATTCCATAATTGTCAAAGCAATGCAGCTGCGTTTGCGCGCGAAATGCCACACTTCAGAGTTCATATTTTCCACTTCACTCATTTCGCTGCGCTCACGGTTTTCTGAACTCCTCTTTTATACGCAGAGCTTGTAAATGCCCGAAATTATTATTATTATTATTATTATTATTATTATCATTATTATTATTATTATTATTATTATTATTATTATTATTATTATCATTATTATTATTATTATTATTATTATTATTATTATTATTATTATTATTATTATTATTATTATTATTATTATTATTACTAAGTATTACTAATTATTATTATAGATTATATTGGTATTATTACTGTTAATTATTATTGTAATTACTATTAGTGTTGTTGTTATTATCATCATCATTATCAGTATTACTATTTTTATTACTATTATTGTTATTATTCTTATTTTTATTACTATTATTGTTTTTGTTATTATTAATTATTGTTATTATTGTTGCCGTCGTTATTATCATTATTATTACTATTACTGTGATTAGTGTTGTTATTACTGTTATTATTATTATTATTATTATCATTATTATTATTATTATTATTATTATTATTATTATTATTATTATTATTATTATTATTATTATTATTATTATCATTATTATTATTATTATTATTATTATTATTATTACTAATTCTTGTTATCATTATTGTTATTATTCTTATTATATCCATTTAATATGCATTTCAGTTTGATGTTAGAGGCTCTGAATGGCTCACTTTTGCACAGGCGCGGAGAACAGCGCAGAGAACATCGAGCGGCAAATGATTAATTTCAGGTCTCAGTTTCTCGAGAAGAGAAAAGTAAAACGAATGATCCTAAAGACTCAAAAGATCCCGCAAAGTTTGTTTTTAATTTCTTCTTTTTGTTTCTTTTTGTTTCCGGGATTTTGCTCTTCAATTTATCTTTCGCTGAGATGTCTCAGGCGAATTGTGCCTCCTTTGACGTGCTTCGCAAGACAGGAAACTTCCATTAAACACACATTATTAATAAATAATAAATAAATAAATAAATAAATAAATAAATAAATAAATAAATAAATAAATAAACAATTAATTAAATAAAAATGTAAATAAATATGTGTATATGTTTGCAGCAATGCAAAACGCGCACAAAATGCGTTTCAGCTACTCATGAGCGTTCCTTGTGCAGCGAAATAGTGCAGTAAGAGCTCGATTTGCAGCTCTCGAGTTATTAAATTCATTTAATTGAATGAAATGAATTTAAATTTAATTTTTAAATTTGCATTTTAAAAATCAAATTTAAATTAATTACCTCCAAACCAACGTCAGAAAGCGCACACAAAACGCGAGCCCCCAACTCCGCCTCCAGCGGCACCCGCAGGATGTGCCGGGCAGCCATGAACAGCAGATATTCTTGCCAAGCTTGCGCAGCAAAACAAATAAAAAAGAATTAATTATATTTAAAAATAAAAATAAAATAAATATATTTGCATTTATATTCTATTATATTCGATGTGCAAGTGGAAATGAACAAACAATGAAGAAAGGAAAAACAGACTGCATGCAACTTTGCGCAAGTTCATTCACTCAAAAGTTTTGCAGAAATCAGCACAAGACCGAAACGGGAAAAAGGAACTTCAAAGAAAAAGAAAAAGAATAAAATAAAAGAAAAAACATGAAAAGAAAGCCAACAAACAGCCCCCTGGCCAGCCATTTAGTAATCAGAAAAAAGAGAAAAAGAAAAGATTTATTTTAAATTCAAAAATCAATTTTAACCAACTTTAAACCCCACCCGCAAGAGGCTGCTGAGCAGCAGCAGCAGCAAAAATCAAGTTTGCTGCTTCCACTGCATCTAATTCTTGAATTCTTTCTCCTAAAAAGAGAAAAAACAAAAAGACAGAAACAAAACAATAAAAATAAAACAAAAAGTGGCAAAAATGGACAAATTAGAAATAAAATGGCAACAAAACGCGCAAAGGGGAGCAGCAGCGCGCGCGCAGCTAGTTGGGGTGTACGTACACCGCAGCACCGCAACAGCCTCACCAACGCAATCTGCAACAGCAGCAAGAATGTCAAAACTATAATTCTGCACAGCAGCAGAACTCCGGCGCTGCAGCCACCCCAGCAGCGGCAGCACAACTGCAGCAGCTCTCAACGGAAACTCCGCAGTCCTTGCGGCCCTCACGCCCTCCACGCTGCTGCTGCTGCTGCTGCTGCTGCTGCTGCTGCTGCTGCTGCTGCTGCTGCTGCTGCTGCTGCTGCTGATGACGTTGGTGTCTTCTGCGAAGAGCTCGTCTAGGTTGCGCTGGTGCTGCAGCAGCACAGGGCTTGCTGCCTGCAGCAGCTGCAGCAGCAGCGGCTCCACGTTGAAGTGCTGCAGCAGCATGCGGGGCCTGCTGCTGCTGAGGTGTATCAAAGCCCCAACTGCATGCAGCAGCAGCTCGGGGGGCAGCTGCTGCGCTGCACTGACAAGCAGCCCCACAGAGTGCTGCAGCAGCAGCAGCAGCAAATCTCTCAAGTCATTGCATTCCGCCGTGCCTGCAGCTGCAGTGCTTCCCTCTGCTGCAGCAGAAGCAGCAGCACCAGCAGCAGTTGATGCAGCAGCAGCAGCAGACGCAGCAGCAAGGTCAGCGGCAGCAACTGAGTGCAGCAAGGCCACCGCAACGCGCGCTTCGTCTTCCCTGCTGCTGTCTCTTTGCTGCTGCTGCTGCTGCTGCTGCTGCTGCTGCAGCCGCTGCAGCAAGAGCAGCAGCTGGCGCGGCGTTCCCGTCTGCAGCCGCAGCAGCACCTGTGGGGTATCTGGGGTGTCTCGGCAGCTCAGCAGCAGCAGTGAAACGGAAGAAGCAGGGGCAGCAGCAGCAGCAGCAGCAGCAGCAGCAGCAGAAAAAGTTGTGGACTGTAGAGCAGAAGCAAATGTCTCCGGAGAAACCACAAGTGGAAGCAGAATAGGCCATTCCTTAAGAACCTGCTGCTGCTGCTGCTGCTGCTGCTGCTGCTGCAGATGCGCTGCGCGTAGTCGCCACTGCTGCCTCTCCAGCAGCAGAAATGGCACTCGGCCTGAGCTGAGTCCCCAGGCTGCTGCAACAAGCTGCTCAAGAAGTTGAATTGGCTGCTGCTGCTGCTGCTGCTGCTGCTGCTGCTGCTGCTGCTGCTCTTCACAAGTTTCGCCGTTTAGCTTTCTCGCTGAGTGCAGCGAAGGCACGCTAGTTGCTTCCGCTGCTGCTGCTGCTGCTGCTGCTGCTGCTGCTGCAGTGTTGGCCGAAATCACAGCAGCAAGTGCAGCACGGATGCTTGCATTCCAGGGGCTCCATGTCTCAGCTGTCTCCTCTTGTTGACTCTTTTCTGTGAGCTTCAGCAGCGCCGCTTTTGTGTCTGCTGCAGCAGAGTCAAAGCACAAGTTTGCTGCTGCTGAGCTGCAGCAGCGCTGCAGCTCAGCAGCAGCAAACTTTTGCTGCCAGTGGTGGCTGCGCAGCAGCAGAAAGCAGCCAGCGGCGCTTCTTGCTGTGCATGCTTCCCGCCTTTGAGCCAGCTGGTGAAGAGCTGGGCGAAAGAGCCCCGGCTTAAGCCACTTTGGAGGGGGAAAGGCAAATAAAAAAGGAAATGCAACAAAGGGAGAGTTTGAAACAAATGAAGCTTTTGAAAAAATGGCTAAAGATGTCCGCAGGCGCATCTTTGGACGTCATTTGAGCCATCGCGTCCGGGAAGTCGAAGTTGAAAAGAAAAGAAAAACTCGGCAGCAGGCAGCAAAGATCTGCATTTGAGTTCAAAAAATGATATTAATGGGACGCTAAGCTTCAATGATGAACTGAAAACTAATGATGTCGGAGAAAACTAAACGAAAAGTTGAAATAAAATGCGAGTTGCACAACTGAGGTGCCTATACACCTGAATCCGATTCGGGTGTATCGGCAGGTGTCACCGCTGAACACGGGAGAATTAAGATCTGCCTTCACCTTAAAGAACACTTTTAATACAAACAAATAATAAAGTTTGAAAATAAATTATTGTTTCCGCTGGGAAACTTTCGAAAACCAAATCGATGTCCCACAAGGGTTTACGGATCCTCACTGGGGGCCCCCCAGGGGGCCCCTCCCTTAGGGGGGCCCCCACATGATCGCCGATTGGTTTGCCGTCAAGCGGGCTCTATAGATGGAAAACTCCCGAGAAAAAACTAATAAACATAAATAGTTTTGAATTAACATAAATAGTTTTGGAAATTATCTTTCTTGAGTGCCTTTATAAAGGCGTTTCCCCCAAATGCAGCCGCAGCCGGCGTTCTGGGGTGTACTTACAGGTCTTCTAACGCAAACCTCTCCATTCGGCACTTCCTTTACTATTTCTAATATTCTTTTCTCATTATTGATTTATTTTTAATATTTCCATCCCTTCCAGCTTTCCATTTAGCAGCAAACTTGGCTGTATTTGCCAGCAGCTGCAGCACCACTCCGTCAGCAGCAAGACCTCTCCAGGCTGTCCGTACACCTCAACGCTGCGGCACCCTGCTGCGCAGCAACTTCTGCAGCAGCTGCAGCAGCAGCAGCTGGCTGCTGGGCAGCAGCAGCTGGCTGATGAGCAGCAGCAGCAGCTGGCTGATGAGCAGCAGCAGCAGCTGCCTAGTGAGCAGCAGCAGCAGCTGCTCAATGAGCAGCAGCAGCAGCTGCTCAATGAGCAGCAGCAGCAGCTGGCTACTGAGCAGCAGCAGCAGCTGGCTACTGAGCAGCAGCTAGTCTTCTTTCGGAAAATAAGTGATGGGCAAATATGAGAAATCTTTTTAAAAAGAATTCCAAACTAAAGAAGCAGCAACTGACAAAGTGCATTCAGCCTTCAGCAAAAAGTGCCATTTAACTGAATTTAGCTGCTGCAGGTGCTGCAGCAGCTGCAGCAGCTGCAGCAGCTGCAGCTGCTGCAGCTTCGCCCCACATGTTCGCCCAGCAGTGTGGCCCAGCAGTAGCTGCTTAGCTAGTTAACTATTTAGCTAGCTAGCTAGCTAGCTAGTTGCCTATTTAGCTAGCTAGCTAGCTGGCTAGTTAGCTAGTTGGCTGGCTACCTGGCTGGCTAGCTACGCAGCTGGATAGCTAGCCAGTTGGCTACCTCACCTGCTAGCCAGATAGCTGGCCAGCTGGCTGGCTAGCTAGATGGCTAGCTGGCTAGCTAGCTGAGCTAGCTGGCTAGCTAGATGGCTAGCTGGCTAGCTGGCTAGCTAGCTGGCTAGCTAGCTGGCTAGCTAGCTGGCTAGCCATCAGCAACGGGAGAGCACCAGCAGCCAACTGCAGCCTGAGGGGAAAGCAAAAAGCGAACTCCAAAGTGAGCTGCTGCATGCAACGTGTCCTGCGCCTTGCTGCACGCAGACGCTGCAGCAGCAACAGCAGCAGCAGCAGCAGCAGCAGCAGCAGAGAGCCGTGTGAAATCCTAAGTGCCGCCAGTCACCCCAAACAGCACTTTTGCAAAAAAGCCCCAAAAAGCATATTCAAAAAATCATTTTAGAAATGCATGCATGCGCATGCGCATGCAAATATGAAGCCTTGGCTTCGAGCATTGAAGTCTTCTGCCACAGCAAATGCAGCAGCAGCAGCAGCTGCTGCTGCTGCCGCTGTTGCAGCCGCGGCTGTTGCAGCCGCTACTGCTGCAGCTGCTGCTGCAGCTGCCGCTGCTGCTGCAGCTGCCGCTGCTGCTGCAACTGCTACAGCTGCAGCTGCTGCAGCTGCTGCGACTGCTACAGCTGCAGCTGCTGCTGCAGCCGCTACCGCTGCTGCAACGGCAGCAGCAGCAGCAGCAGCAGCAGCAGCAGCTGCTGCTGCTGCTTATGCCCTGCCTTTGTAGAGATGGTGCTCGCGGAATTCATCGAAGACACTCAGAAGAGCAGCACGAGGCCCCTCTTTGAGGTGGCAAGACACCTCAGCCACAGCTTGGCCGCCGTCTTCTGCTGCTGCAGCACCAGCCAGCAGCTCGAAGGAAAGCAGCAGCAAACGCGAACTCAGCAGCTGCTGCTGCTGCTTCTGGCCTGCGCAGCAGCACAAGCAGCAGCAGCACAAACAGCAGCTGGCGGGAGCAGCAGCAGCGGCTGCAGCAGCAGCAGCACCAGGAGCAGCGCCGCCAGTAGCAGCA